CAGTCACCTCTGCCCTCCTCTCCCTACTGTTAGGTGCTGTTGAGTCAATTCCAACCTGCAGCGACCCTGTATAGGGGCTCCGAGGAGCGGCTGGTGAGCCCGAACCATCGACCCTGCAGTTCAAAAGGTTCTGCAGTATGGCACCTCAATCCACAGTGCTATGCCGGGGCTCCTCTCAAACCAGTGAAGAAGAAAAAAAGAAAAGAAAAAAAAGCAAACCAAATAGGACACACATCCGTGTCTCCCATATAAGGTTTCCACAGAGCGGCTGGTTAGCTTGAACTACCGACCTTGCCGTTCAAAACGCTTTGCAGTGGGGCCTTAACCCACAGCACTACGCCGGGACACTGCTCAAACTAGCGAGAAAAAGCTGACCAAATAGTCTGTGCATCTACGTCTTCCCTATAGGTGTCCATGGAGCAGCTGGTTAGCTTGAACCACTGACCTTGCAGTTCAAAAGGCTTTACAGTGGCGCTTTAACTTACAGTGTTATGCCAGGACGCCTCTCAAACCAGCGAAGAAAAAAAACAAAAAAACAAAACAACCAAATAGCATGCACATCCACGTCTCCCGTATAGGGTTTCTGAGGAGCGGCTCGTGAGCTTGAACCACCAACCTTGCAGTTCGAAAATATTGAGAGCGCAGCACCTTAACCCATAGAGCTACACCAGGACCCCTCTCAATCCAGTGCAAAAAGGCTGACCAAATACACGTCTCAGCTTGGGCTGAGTGTGTGTGAGCTCCTGGCAGAGGAAACTGCCAGCGGTGAGGGTGGGTCATGGCCACTAGTCTAAGCCCCTACCTCTATTCACCGAAAGTAGGTGGGCAAATCGTGAGCGCACCTATTACCCTACACCAAAGAAAAAAATAAAATCGGACCCACACAAAATCGGCAGAGTATACTGTGCACCTTTCATTTCCTCTTTCTTTTCCAAGGTTCCCCTCTGCGGCTCCTATTTCATCCCACCGCCTGGACTCGCCCAGGATGTGGCCTCAGGCCTCCGTGCCTGGCTGGCAGATCCAAAAGTACGCGATTTCCTGCCTCAGCTCCAAATTCCAGTCCTCAAACCTTTAAACTATTCCTATCTCTGTGGGTCCAAGCCTTGGAGCCCCGTCCTGCCTCTTTCTTGCCTGGAATTCTGAGTTATTGTTGATGGTAACCTTCACTACACCTTCACCCTAGCTGCCATCAAGCCCCGCCTCCCAGTAATAACTGACTTTTACAAATGTAAATTAAAGGGGATTTAAAATAATCCCTATAAAACAGTCATTTCGCTCCTAATTCAAATGATCTTTGAGGAGAGGAGAAAGTCATGGATTTTTTTTGTAAAATTTTAGGGAGCTGCACTGAAACGCCCGCTGATCTTAACTAAGCCACATGGTGGAGAGGGAGTAATTTTTACTGCTGACCTGACATTACTTCTGGGATTGGGAATTATTTTTAAATTTGCTTCCCCACAATCCTTTTAGGGTTTCATCAGTGTGGGTATATGGAAAGTGTGTGTGGAATGTAAATGCCACGTATCATGTCAGTTGCATGGGAAAAAGTTTGGGAGTGACCGACACCTATTTATGCAATGCTTAGTGGTTACGAATCGGGCTGCGAACTGCAAGGTCAGCAATTTGAAACTACCAGCTGTTCCATGAGAGAAAGATGAGGCGTTCTGCTCCTGTAAAGATTTACAGCCTTGGAAACCCTGTACAGGGTCGCTATGAGTCGGAACCGACTCCATGGCACATAACCACCACCAGCATTAGTCCTGCAGCCGGGATGACATGTTTGCTTTTAAGTTTTCCTATAGTGAAAATAAAGAAAATGTGGTGAGTAACCGATTCAAACTGTTCATGAGACTGAAACAAAGCACCTGCAAGTGCCACTTTTTCTAGAACTAAGACATGTCATGATGTAAAGGTATACTATTGTATGTTGAGGTGACAACAGTTTCCAATTTATCCCTGCGTCAGATATAACTAAGTTTTCTGGGCTGACACAAGTGCAGAGTAGAGTAAGCAGCAGTTCTATACAGAATGAAAAAATGCACTTCAGATCTCAGTATTGCTATAACTCTTAGTTTGTCTCTGTTGCCCACAGATACAAGTTCTGGTATCAGAGGGTTTAAGAGCTGAGTAGTAAAATGTAGCATAGATATGATACAATATGGTCTGTGTGGAGCCAACAGACTAACTAGCAGTTCCAGAAATAGAGAGGCTCTTTCTTCTGTCAGCCATTGGACGTTTCTGGGTTGCCATTTCCAAAAAGAGTCTGGAGGTCATGTGTTCCAGCAATCTGAGATCTGGTGACAATCACTCAGTCCAAGTGTTTCTGAGCCACCAGGGTCCTTACAGCAGCCTTCACATCTTTATTCCTCAAGCTGTAGATGATGGGGTTGAGCATGGGGGTCACCACCCCATAGAAGAGGGAGATGAGCTTGTCTGAAAGGTCCTGTTTGTCTGCCCCCAGTGGGTCCTTAGACTTGGGCTTCCCGTACATGAAGAGAATGGTCCCATAGAAGACAACCACGACTGTGAGGTGGGCAGAACAGGTGGAGAAGGCCTTTTTCCTCCCTTCTGCGGAGGGGATCCTCAGGATGGCGGCAAGGATAAAGACATAGGATACAAAAATGAACAGGACTGGGATTGCAAGGAAGATCATGTTGGCCACAACCATGCTGATCACATTGATGGTGATGTCAGCACAGGCCAACTTCAGGACAGCCAGAATCTCACAGGTGAAATGGTTGATGACATTGTCCCCACAGAAAGGCAGTCGCATTGCCTGAGATGTCTGTACTATAGAGTTTAAGATACCAGCTGCCCATGAACTGGCAGCCATGGGCACATAGGTAGCCTTGCTCATGACCACAGGGTATCTAAGGGGATTGCAAATGGCCACATAGCGATCAAATGCCATCATGCTCAGGAGCACACATTCTGTGGCTCCCATAGCAAAGGAGAGAAACATTTGCCCAAAGCAGGCTGAAAAGGAGATGGTTTTTCTGGGTGTGAGGAAGCTGTCAAGAATGAGGGGGACTGAAGAAGTCGTGTAGCAGATGTCCAGGAAGGATAGGTTCCCCAGGAAGAAGTACATGGGCGTGTGCAGACGAGAGTCAAAAATGGTCACCAAGATGAGAACTCCATTTCCCAGTAGGATGACCAGGTACATTAGCAGGATGAGCACAAAGAAGGATTTCTCTAGTTTTGGATGGGCAGAGAGTCCCTGGAGAATGAAACCTATCATAGATGAGGTCTGATTGAAACCTACCATGGTGCATCTGCTCTGTCACCTTCAGGAACTCAGGATGCATCCAACATTCTCTGAAAAGCACCTGGGCAGCCAGGGGAAAATCCTCGCCATACTGACGAATTCAAGAATAACTCTGGCAATCGGAGCATCTCTATGGGGTTCTAGGAAAAATATAGTAGAAATCAATGTTTAACTTCAGCTTTCAGTAAGAGTGAGTGAGGTAAATTTGGGTGAACTCTTCTGCATACGACAGCTAGAAAACTAGAAAAAATACATAAAATATCTGTGTAAAGCATTGGAGAAAAAATAAGATAAAGAATTGTAGGATTATGATTCTGGGAAAACCAGGGACTTAGAGAATTAAGACCAGGACTTGAGGATACTTTTCAACTGTGGCATTTGCATTTTCTGAAGGGGACCTCTGAGAGGCTGAGTAGCACTAATGTCAGCCTCATGGAGATGGGAAACACGTTTTCAAGTGCAAGGTTCATTGTGAAGAGCTCCTAGCTAAAGTTTTCTTTTTGGGGATGGGATCCCAAAGGATACTACATTAGAAATAAGGGTAAATCGAGATATATGCACTTACAGGTGCTATAGCTCAGCTTCCAATCTTCTCAGGCTCTGAAAATGGATTGAGGTGACCCTAGCTTTTCAGTGCTCCCAAGTACCTAACAGAGGAAGGTAGTATCACTTCAGTCCATAAATCATTTCTGCAAATAATTTTTTTCAGATAAAACATGTGGCACACAAGGAGACAAGAAAACAGGGGGAACAATTTAGAAAATGAAAAAGATCCACAGTATTTCTAGATAAAAGCTTCAAAATAATTTACAGTGTTCAGGGAGATAAGAGATAAAAAAAAAAAAAAAGAACTCAATGAATAGCTATCAGACACATTTGAAGAGAAAATTCATGAGCTAAATGATAGATCAGAAGAAAATAAGAAGAATTAAGCATGGAGAGGCAAAAAGATGGAAATATGAGATATATGAAATTTAGTACCTGCAGCCATTGAGTCAGTTCTGACTCATAGTGACTGTATAAGAGACAGAGTGAAATTGCTCTTTAGGGCTTCTGGGACTGCAAATCTTTATGAGAGCGGACTGTCTCGTCTTTCACCTGCAGAGCAGCTGGTAGGTTTGAACCACTAATCTTGTAGTTAGCAGTCCAACACTTTACCTACTGCACTTCAGGGCTCCCTAGAAATTCAGTAGGAAATTCTACTATATGTAACTAGTTCAAGAAAAACTACAGAAAGGGGGGTAGTGCCTGAGAACATTCTTCAATTTACGAAGGACATCAAGTCAGAAATTCAAAGCTTCAAGAATCTCCTGGAGAATAACTAACAAGAAATGCACATGTAGGCTCACCAGAGTAAAACTGTTAAAACACCAAAGACAACAGAAACTATCAAGGCAGAGAAACCAGACAAGTTACCTTTAAGGGAGTAATAATTAGACTAGCTTATCAATCGAATAAATGAAAACTAGAAGATATTGAAAGGCTGTATTTTAAGAGCTAAAAGAAATAGAGTGGCAAACTAGGATTCTATACCCTTCCCAAGCCGTTCAGAAGTGATGTTGTTGTTGTTAAGTGCCGTCGAGTCGGTTCCGACCCATAGCGACCCTGAACAGGGTTTCCGAAGCTGTAAATCTTTACGGGAGCAGAAAGCCTCATTTTCTCCCGCGGAACAGCTGGTAGTTTCAAACTGCTGACCTTGTGGTTCACAGCCCGATTCGTAACCACTACGATAGTGAAATAAAAATATTAACAGGCAAATAAAAACCTGCAAATTCATCAGATTTTCAATAAAAGAAGAACTAACGGCTATTCCCCAGATCACCGCTAGTCTTTAAGTTGGCTGCACTGTGGAGGCTTATGTGTTGTGATGATGGAAGTTAAGCCACTGGTATTTTAAACACTATCAGGGTTACCTATGGTTGACAGGTTCAGCAGAGCTTCCAGACTCAGACAGACTAGGAAAAGGGAGCGGTAGACTGCTTCTGACTGTTAGCCACTGAAAACCATACGAATAGCAGTGGAGTACTGTCAGATATAATGCCAGAAGATGAGCCCCTCAGTAGGAAGGCACTCAAAATATGACTGGGAAAGTATCTCCTCAAAGTAGACTTGACCATGATCATGCAAGTAAAGCTTTTGGGACCTTCATTTGCTGATGTGGCACAACTCGAAATGAGGACAAACAGCTGCAAACTTCCATTAATAATCAGAACATGGAATGTATGGAGTATGAATTTAGGAAAATTAGAAGTTGTCAAAAATAAAATGGAATGCTTAAATTGATATCTCAGGCATTAATGAGCTGAAATGGACTGGTATTCACCATTTGAATCAGACAGTCATTTGGTCTACTGTGCTGGGAACAACAGATTAAAAAGGAATGGCATCACTTTCACCATCAAAAGTTTAAGATCTATCTTGAAATACAATGCTGTCAGAGATAGTATATTTTCTATATGCCTACATGGAAGACCAAGGGGCTCTGGTAGCGTAGTGTTATGAGTCGGGCTGCTAGCCTCAAGATCAGCAGTTTGAAACTACCAGCGGTTCTGCAGGAGAAAGATGAGGCTTTCTGCTCCCATAAATATTTACAGCCTCAGAAACCCTATGTAGGGTCACTATGAGTCGGAACTGAGTCCACAGCACACAACCACCACCACAACCACCACCATATGGAAGACCAGTTGATACCATTATTATTCCAATTTATGCACCAACCACTAGAGTCAGTGATGATGAAATTGAAGAATTCTACCAACTTCTTCAGTATGAAATTGATCAAACATGTAATTAAAAGGTATTGACAGTTACTGTGAAAGTTGTGTTCCAGGGTTGTATTCTCTCATCATAAGTCTATCTATATGCTGAGCAAATAATCTGAGAAGCTGCATAATCTGAAGAAGGACGCGGAATCAGGATTGGAGGAAGACTCATTAATAACCTGTGATATGCAGACGGTACAATTTTGCTTGCTGGATGTAACTTAAAATTCTTAATGATGAAGATCAAAGATTGTAGTCTTCAGTATGAACTGCACCTCATTGTCAAGAAAACAAAAATAATATCATGATAAATGGAGAAAAGACTGAAGTTGTCAAAGACTTCACTTTGTTTGGATCCACAATCAACATTCACGTCAGCAGCAGTCAAGAAATCAAATGATGTATATTGCATAAGGCAAATCTTCTGCACAAGACTTCTTTAAAGTGTTCAAAATCAAAGATAACAGGTTGAAAACTAAGGTGTGTCTGACCCAAGCCATGGTATTTTCAGTAGCTTCATATGCATGTGAAAGTTGTACAATGATTAAGGAAGATCATTGAAGAATTGATGCATTTGAATAATTGTGTTGGAGAAGAATATTAAAAGAACCATGGACTGCCAAAAGAACCAACTAATTTGTGTAAGAAGTAGTACATCCAGAGTGCTCCTTAGAAATCAGGATCCATTTAGAAACAAGAAGCGAGGTCTTGTCTCTCTCATACTTAGGACATATTATCAGGAAGGACCAGTCCCTGGAGAAGGACATTAAGCTTGGTAAAGTGGAGGGTCAATGAACAAGAGAAATATCCTCAATGAGATGGATTGGCTCAGTGACAGTAGAGATGGGCTCAAACACAGCAACAATTGTGAGGATGGTGCTGGACGGGACAGTGGTTCGTTCTGTTGTATGTAGTTTTGCTGTGAGTTGGAGCTGACTCTATGATGCCTAACAACTACAATTCATCTGGTAGAAAGGATGGTTCAAATGGAAGGTCAGAAATGATAGGTTGAATGAGGAGCAACGAAAAATGGTACATTATGTTTGTGACCATATCTAGTGAATTTAAACTGCATGAAATGATATAGCAGCGATGCCTTGTTAGATTTAAAATGTACATCGCAATAAAATAACAACATCACATGAATCAGGATTGTGAATGGAGTTAAAATGTTCTAAGGCTGTTGCATTATTCAGAAAGAGCATAAATGTCTCAATTAATTTAAACAATTGAGTAGCCAAAGGTTTCCTAGACAGGACATTAAAAAGCACTAACTATAACAGAAAATTATTGATTAGTCAGATTATAGACGATTAAGAATGTGTGTTCATGAAAATAAGGAGCTTGGGTGGCTCAGCAGGTTAAGCATTGGGCTGCCTACACTAAGACTGATGCTTCAAATCTAATAGCTGCTCTGAGGGAGAAAAATGAGGCTGTGAGCTCCGTAAAGATTCACAGCCTCAGAAACCTTAAGAAGCAGAGTCGCTGAGTTGGAATTGACTTGATGGCAGTGGATATTCATGAAACGACATCATGAAGATGAAAAGACAAGAGAATATGGTGTGTGTGTGTGTGTGTGTGTGTGTGTGTGTGAGATTTACAATATTTAAGCAAGTCAAAGGATTTGTATCTAAAATATGCGATACTAATACAAATTAAAAGAGCTCTGGTAGCATAGTGGTTACGAGTCGGGCTGCGAACTGCAAGGTCAGCAGTTCGAAACTACAAGCTGTTCCGTGGGAGAAAGATGAGGTTTTCTGCTCCTGTAAAGATTTACAGCCTCAGAAACCCTGTACAGGGCCGCTATGAGTTGGAACTGACTCCACAGCACACAACCACCAATACAAATTAACAAGAGGAAAAAACCCAAAAGACAGTCCAAGAGAAACAATATAAGCAAGAGACTTGAACAGAAACCTTATAAAATAGGATGTAAAAATTACCAATAAACCTTTAATCTGAAGCTCAGCAACATTAATAATCATGGAAATTCAAATAGAAAGTTCAATGAGATCCCACTATACACTCATCAGAATTGTGAAATGTCTCGTATATGTGTGAGTAAGGATGGGGATCTACAGGAGTTCTTATACTCTGCTGATGGAAAGTAAATTGATGAAACCACTTTGAAAAACTTTTATTTCTTTTATTACAACTATACATACCTATGAATTCAAAAATTCTTCTAGGTATATATCCAACAGAAATGTGTGCACATGCTTACTAAAAAATATGGAC